AAAAGAAATTGGTTTTATTCAAAAATATATAAACGATTGAAACTCAAAATATTTTTGCTTATGTACCCGGTATTATCAACACACACTCCCTGAAATCGTTTTAAAACAGCTTTAATGCTCAGATCGTCGGAGCGCCTGGGGCCTTGACCGCAGCTGGGCTCCGCATCTGGACCCCGCACATCCCCCCCCCCCCCACCCCCCCCCCCCCCCAGCCAAATGGTGTAGTCACTCACGCAAGTTTCAAATCTCTCAGGTTGGTAACTATGAAACCCTGCAGTAATCCTGTTAATCTGAATTGGCAGATGGCCAACACGCTTACCACCACCAACACCACCACTAATTTTATCTGCTGTTGTGTAGGCCTAAATACCACCAAAATTCTTGTCATGAGCCATGCTCTCTCTACGATTACCTTTTGTTAACCAACACCATTTGTTTATCTTCGATTTAAAAAAAAAGGTGCCCCTTGAATTTTCCTCTAATTCCATAATTTCCCACTCAATTTCCACTCTGCTTTCATAAGCGCCCGTTTGAATAAGCGCCCCTCAAAAAGAGCCAAAAATATTTTAAGCGTCCGGGCGCTTATTCGCGCGAGTACGGTAAACACTAGGCCTACAGTAATTCGATATAAATACAGTGTAGTCTTTCCCTTCCTTATTGTTTAACGTGCCGGCGCTAATGTGCCCTCGTACTCGTACGGCCTTCGTTTCTTCCCACTAGGCCTCGGGTATTCAACCTTTTTAAGCTGGTGGCCAGTTCCAATTTGTTGAAACCAATGACAGCCTCACCCATTCCCGCTTTTTTAAACATGAGGGTGTTATTCAACGGCGGCGGAAGCGGAGTGCCAATGACCCACTCACTTTTCTACTGGGGGCTGGCCCCCCTTCCCCCACATTTGTGACTGTTCCCAGCACCAGTGACAAACATTTTACGAACGCTGCAATGTTGTTGTTGTTGTTGTTGTTGTTATTATTATTATTATTATTATTATTATTATTATTATTATTATTATTATAAAATACAGATATTTTTTTTTTATTTTCTAACAAACATTACAAGTTTCCTTTTTGAGTTGAGCAACCAAACTGTTGATTGACGTCTGTATACGCGCGTCTGTAAAGTTTCATGGAAACCCACCTTCGAGCATGAAGAAAAAAGAGGAATCGCCTGCCTTCGTAAATTCTGTCTTTAGGCATATGGGGGAGGTAGGCCAGTGATGGCGCCAGGACCTGCCAACGGAGGGGCTAAAGGCCCCGACGGGGTGGGGGCTAATGGAGCGAATCGAGTCTCACTTGGCTGGAGGCCAGGGACCACCTAGGGCCCCGGTGGGGGTCCAGGGGGAAGCCCCCCTGGAAGCCAAGGATATTTGACGAATGGCTTTTATTACTTTGATAGGCATCGAGCTAATATTATATGACTTCATGTAGGCTATGTTTTCTAATGTTGAAATCAGCGTCCAAAACCAAAACATTTTGAATAAAACAAGAAACAAAAAGTATGCAATGTAACCATCTAATTTATTTTCAAATCCTCATTCTGGAAAGTGAAATGCATGAATTCTGTCGACCACACTGTCAAGGTCGAGGTTGCCTCTCCTATCACGATGTATTCCAAGCATCATGAGGCTATCCAAACGAGCATTTGTCATAACAGAACGCAAATAATTGTTATTATTTATTATTTATTTATGTATTCATTTCATTTCTTTTCTTTTAGACAAGAGCGCCAAGGATATGCCAATAAGTGAACTTAATCACTATCCTATGTGGCATATCCGCAGGGGACAGGGGACTGAATGGACCAATACACCGGGGTAACCCCCTACTCTTCTCGAAGAATGTACTGGGTTCTTTAAAGTGCACACGAGATAAATGCGTACACTGGGCCTACGGTTTAAAGTCCTTATCCGAGAAGACTTGTTCCACCATCGGAACTATTGGCGAGTGAGCCGTTCGAACCATTTTTTCGACTTCACACAGGCAAAAATACTATAAAAAAAAAATCAATAAAATTAATTAATTTTAATTAGTCTCATTGAACTATTATTATTATTATTATGGCGCTACCACTGAGGTAGGCACTCTTTAATGGAGCGAAGCTCTAGTTCTCGTTATGCTAACCACGAAGATGTATGGTATATGTAACTGATTGGCTTACAGTAAACCTTCAAACTAGCGTAATATAACCACATTTAAACTCCATCTAAACGAAAACAATAAGATACTTAATTAGGCCATTTTCAAAATAAAATTCTCTAAAGGTTAACTATAGAATTTACAGTACACTGTAGTAAATGTGTTATAGGTTTAAAAACTGTATTAAGTAAAAAAAAATCTTTCAAATAAAAGAATCTTTCGCTTGACGTTAGGAATTAGGAATCATTTGTGAAACAAAATGAAGGCTATGTCAAGTGTTATATTGAACAGTGGCAGATTCAAGGGGAACCCAGTCAGCACGGGCCCCAACCTCCTACTGTTTTAATTTTTTTTTTTTAAATGGAGAAAACAAAATTGTATTCAACTTTTAATCTGAGAGTGCCATTTCCGGCCATCTGGAGGTGCCATAATCATATTTTATTTTTATCGCAGCCCCAAAAGTTGTGAGGCTGAGGTGGGTGGACATTCTATTTGCGCAAGACTCCTCTATCTCGACTTACTGAACCCGCCAGAGTTGGAGTAGGCCCTACCATTTCCGGGCTACTATAGAAGGATAATTTTTATCCATCGGAGGAAAAGTTGAGGTTTCGTCGGGGAATACCCATATCAAGGATAACCCTCATGATAAATAATTCATTGAGATCGTGGAAGCAATCTCGACTTCGACTTTGGAAATCTGTGGCGCATTCAAGGGTGGGGGTGCTAAATTGCTAAATTTTATTTTTTAAATGGAGATAACAGGAAAATTATATTCAAATTTTAAGTCTGAGAGTGTAATTTCCGGCCATCCAGAGGTGCCATAATCACAAACTGTCTTACCTCAGCCCCAACAGTAGCTTGATGCCTATAAAATAACTTATAAAATTCACCAAACTTCGTAAAATATCCATAGCTTCCAGGTGACGAAGTCCCCTAGAGCCCCACAGTGGCCCTTGGCGGCCCTCTGGCCCCCAGCCTAGATGCTCACTTCTCTCGCATACTGGACCTTATGAAATGGCCCCCACTTTCAAAAACGCTCCTCCGCCGTTGGGTGTTATGCAGTGGAACATCTAATAGAGAAGAGATGCACTCTAAACAACCTTGCACCCCTAGTTCTACCCTACCATTAGAAATATCTCGAGCACCACACGTACTGAGTATTCAGTACATTTCCACGTCAGGTAGGGCAAAAATTACACCTATACTTGATTCTCCTGACGCAAATCCAGTTATTGTCTATTCCATCACGACAATAACAATTACTATCAACATTGCAGTACCTGCTGCTTACTTGGACTCGAATTCAGCCTTGGCCATCAGGCGCGCAAGTTCGTCGGTCTAGAGGTAGGATACCAGGCTAGTGATCTGGAGATTGTGGGTTCGAGTCCCACCCCCAGGCTGAACCCGTTGTATTTAGCAACTACCATTTATACGTTTTTGTTGTAACAAAAGGAGGACCGAATCACACTATATCAGCTTATGTGTTACTTTATTGTGTACAGTGTATTGAGGATGGTGGTTAAGAGTGGACGGGCCCACTATATAGTCCTAGCGTGAACCTATTTATGAAATTGGATATTGTACAATTTATTCATTTTTTAACTGAAGTAACCAATAATGCTATCCTCCTAAGGGGCACTATTTTGGTTCTTAGTCTATGTTTTGGGGCAGGAATATTGATTAATAATGTATTATTATATACTGCATATAGGCCTACGTACTTTTACTAAGTTAATCTATCTGTGTATCTGTTCCCATCGGACTTTACTATTTCGGATGTTTAGGACCGGCATACGGTAATGATTTATATGTAAGTAAAAGTACCAATATATAACTTTGATCATTTAAAGGCAAAGAAACCTAAAACAGGTCATATATATTTAGCTTTTAGGTTGATAAAAATTATCATCATCTCTGACATGTGTATATATTTACATTTTCTGTCAGTAGGGTAGCATGACTCTCAGTGAAAACTCTGCTCATTAGAGGGACCCAATGGCGGCACCCCTTATGCAGACTAAAGTTAAGCGAGTCCAAGCCGCAAAATTCACCGGTAAAATCGTTATATTAGAAAAAGGACAGTTTGGCAGACAAACGATATCTGTCAGTAATTTATAATATTGGTCAAGCTTTCATGCATGCTTAGATGACGATCTGTTTCATTGTGGATTTCCATCCGTCCACAATGATATCGGCGTTCAAGTGACAATTTTTACAGTCATGGCTTAGGCATGTATAATTGATTATATTAAAGTTATTAACAAATTATAATATGTAGTACTCCTACAGGTAAATACTATCAATTCAGATTTGTATCTATGAGTTGCTTTATTAGAATTTTATAAGGGGGCGGGGCGCATAAAGAATGGGCCTCTGGAGATCGGGGGCCCTGGTTAGTAACATTATTGCATTTCTCTTCTTTTTCTCTACTTTGACGTTTGAATCCGTTTCAAAACAGTTAAATAACAAAGACATGAACAAATTTCAATTGTGGGCATTATACATTTATTGAAACTCAAAAACGTCAGCTTCTTAAACATAAAAGCTGTTAGTGTAGTTATTGTCTATTGAGGAAACAATTGGATTAATTAAAATGACAATTAAAAGTTAGAAAATGATCTTCACTCATAGTGGCCATCATGATCTGATCAAAATGGTCACTCGATGCAACTCAGAATAATGCTATTGTTGCTACTCAGAAATGTTAGTTCATTAATGAAACAAGGTTTGTAGAGGCAAATATCCGTATTATAAAGCGGTTTTAAAGATCTTATGCATTTAGCGCTCTTATATACCTGTAATAACCTCATGCCAATAATATTAATAATAATAATAATAATAATAATAATAATAATAGTGTGATGATAATAATAATAATAGTGTGATTAAATGAATATATACTTTTAATAACCTCATGCCAAGAATTTAATTACTTTAGTAATGAATATTAATAACAATAATAATAATAATAATAATAACGATAATATTATAATAATAATAATAATAATAATAATAATAATAATAATAATAATAATAATAATAATAATAATAATAATAATAATAATAATAGTGTAGTAGTAATGAATGTAGGCCTAATTGAATCCCAACCTCTTGTTTGAGGAATAAATTGGGGTAATTGAACGGTCAAGAAATTAATAAATTTAATTAAATCTCAAATAACAGACAAGATTACTACTATATTCCAATCATTACATTGAATGCTAAATATGGTGCAACAAACATATCGTATCATCAAATCATTTTGGAAGATTTAATTTCTAATACTTCGAGACTCGCATACGTATGGCAACTTATAGTTGCAACGTCCGTCATTCCAGGTCAGGTAATTACCATCCTTTTTCCATTGGTGAACGCAATTTTCATTTCCTCCAAAATTATTGGGTTCGCCGGATTTCCATTTCCTGTAACTGTAGAATGAATTGTCCGACCAACGCCAAGTACTGCCCGACCTCCTCAAACCAATCCAGTATGTGTTTCCTCTCCCACCGTTATAAGTTTGCCAAATCGTGGAAACAAACTTGTTTTCAGCTTCACTTCCGATGGAGACGAGATTACCGTGTGAGTTGCTGCAAGAGGAGCAATCCTTTTTTGCCTCATCCCAAGTCTTCGGAGATGCGTACAATCGATAGCACTTATTTCCAAATGGAAGCCAATATTTTGGACATTTTCGACATAGAGCGCCATCAGAAGGGCTTGCAGCCACCGCAATGAAGATACCGACTAGCAATACCTATCAATAGAAATATATAACATAATAATTCTTATTTATACTGATTATAATACCTATTACCCGGTTTGTAGCCCCTGTTGGTAATTTAATGTAACGTAGTTAAATTTATATAGCGCTTTGTACCGAAATGTTCTCAAAGGGTTCGAGATGTGGACAAGCTCTTACAGTAACTTGTCTCCTATAAGGGACTGTATGAACCAGTTATACACCAGGGTAACAGGGAACAGGAGCCAGGATTTTGAAAGGGGAAGCTGTTATGCGAGGTACGTATGACCCCGGCGGGGTCCAGGGGGACGAACCCCCTGTGAAGTAGCGCACTCTGAACGTTTTAAGGAATGTTTTGAGAGGATAAAGGGAAAATTGTATTAGACACATCATAAATAATATTAGTAGGCTCAGCAATAATTATAATAAATCAACAGGATCCAGGAATTCGCAAGAGAGGTGTCCCTGGGAGGGCCTTTCACAGACTGAGGAACCACCCACCTCAGCCCCACCATGGAAAATTTATTATTAGGGCACCTCTAGATGGCCGGAAATTACGCTTTCATACTTAAATTTGAATATATTTTCCTTTTTTTTTCAAAAAAAAAAATTATTATCCAAAATAGTCATAATCATGAAAAATGGGCATGAAAAACCAGATCATATCCTAAAAACAAATTTATGCACCCTCTCCTCAGCAGTCACAAGACATACTCTGAGTCAGGTGCCGACTCGATGCAGTTTAATGGCATACACGGGGAAGGGCGCAGATCTGTTATAAAAGGTGGAGGGGAGGACATTTTGTGAGTCGACACCCACCTCAGACTCACCATGGTTGGAGCTGAGGAGCGAAAATGTGAGGAAATAGTACCTCTAGATGGCAGAAACGACACTTTTAGTAAAATTCATTATCATCACATCACCATTAGTCCAAACGAAGCGCCAAAAAAATAAATCTCACTGTCTTTTATCAGGGATTTACGGCAACCATAAATATCTTATTAATGTGTGTGATATACCGTAGAAAACAAAGCTTATAAACATTGTCTTTGAGTATGTTCTTTACATACTTCAAAACCATGATTTCACAACCACCTCAGCCCCACCAAATTTGAGGAAATAGTACCTCTAGATGGCCGGAAATCACACTTTTACAAAGTAAAATTCATCATCATCACATCACCATTACACATTAAAAATGAAACGCCAACAAATTTCTCATGTACTTTATCAGGGATCTACTTAATATCCAGGACAACTTAACCTAACTATAATTTACTAAGCTTTAACTATAATATTGTCATCAACAAATCACAACTTTATTTTCCGCCTTTGGCAAAATTTTCTTCACATTTTAATATTATTAATATTACTATAAATTATCACTATCATCATCATTATTATTATTATTATTATTATTATTATTATTATTATTATTATTATTATTATTACTAATAGTATAATATTATTAAACAATACTTTAAAAAGCTTGCAAAAGTATAAAAACCAAACTGAACCATACAGTATCACATTTCTGTATCTTAAAAAACTTGGCCTGGGATTTATGGATTTTTAAAAATCGCGTTTAGGCATGTGTTATAATTATAGTAGACCTAGGCCTATGTATAACGAGTACTGATGCATTTTTAAGTATTTTAGAAGTATTCATTTTGAGTGATCCCAGGAAATAATTTGTATTGGCACAAAAACAAGCTTTAAAAATTTAACACTGTGTACAAAGGGAGGGGGGGGTCGGGAGCCGCTGCATACACGGCTCTTTCCCCCTGGATACGTCCCTGGGGTAACCCTTCACTCGTCTCGGAAAATGTACTGGGTTATTTTAAGTACACGTGAGCCAAATTGTGTACATTGGGCCTACAGTTTATAGTCCTTATCCGAGAAGGCTTGTTCCACCACTAGAAGTGTAGGCGAACATGTCGTTCAAACCAGCGCTGATATTATGGCTTTGGGTTGTGTTGCCTCTGCCCCGCTCGGCGGATATACAATTTCTAAACTGTCTTGTTAAAGATATAAAATATTAATTCTGAGAGGAATAGGCTAATATGAAAAAATGCTGCCCCAACCCAGTGGAAGGGGGCCAGCAGCGGTTAGAGAAAAATTCCCACCCCAGTGGCGGATGCAAGAGGTCCTTGTCAGCCCCCTGCCCCACCCAAGTTGTTAACATTTTTTTTTTTAATGGAGATAGAAAGAAAATCATATTCAAATTTTAAGTCTGGCCATTTAGAGGTACCATAACCACAAATTTTCTTACCTCAACCCCAACCATGGTGGGGCTGAGGTGCTATGGATCCTCAATCTGTGAAAGTACCTCCCCGCATGGGCGTCGATCGGTGGGGGACAGGGGGACGCGTCCCCCCCCCCCACTTTTCAAAGTAAGGGGGACATCATATCGATTGTCCCCCCCCCCACCTTTCACCAATCTTCTATAATTAAAACCCCACTTTTAAAAGCGAATGGAAAGAATAACAATTACGCATGACTCATGAATTTTGTCTGTAAGTGCGGTACGTATTTTCCGGACCAAAACCGAGTAATTGTTTATACATTTCGTAACCATCTCAGAAACCAATAGATCGATTTTATGGGTTCAACGGTTATATTAGAGGCTAAATTTATTGTAAAAACAATGTACTGAACGTTGTTAAAATTGGAAGCGTGTATACTTATAACTCAAAAGTGCACGATTTCTACTATAAAGTATTTATTCCTTTTGTATTATTATTATGACCCGTACGTATATAGTGTTTAATATTATCTACATACATAGGATTACTGTTTTCAAAAAATATATAGTTAGTCAATTGAATTTTATATAGCCATTATTAAACAATGATTATACAGCCTTTGACACGGATATGTCTATCTATTTCGATTAAGTGATACCAAAAGTTTACAAACTCCAGTGTTACGTTGACGCAATCTCGCAATGACGTCATAATAATCAGTGGCGGATTCAAAAGTGGGGCCAAGTCGACACTAAATTTTTAAAAATTATTTTTTTTAAATGGAAAAAACAAAGGAAAATTATAATTAGAATTTAGGTCTGAGAGTGCCATTTCCGGCAATCTAGAGGTGTCATAATCATAAATTTTCTTTCCTCAGCCCCAACCATGGTGGGGCTAAGGTGATCTACTTTCCCAAATTATGCAAGTCCCTCCCTGTCCCCCCTCTAATTTGCTTTCTTGGAGCCGCCACTGATAATGATAAATTAAGTAAATCACCTTTATGTTTGTGAAATCAAAATGCTTACTAATGTTTTGTGTGCTCCCTATTTCCCTAGTCCTGTTTGATCGTAAATTAGACGGTATTATTTCCACTCACAATAGTTTAGTCGCAATATTACTTACACAAAAGTGAAATTCAAAAAGAGAAGAAAAGCAAAAACCTCTCGATTGATTTTAAAAGTACTGTAAATGCAAAAAGACTAAATTAATGACTGTTTTAAGTTTATCTTATTTGTTTTTCATAGTTCGAATTTTGAATACGTTACAAGCTAATCAGTAAATAATAAATCATTATTTTTATGAATGTTAGTTTGCACGAAATATATATGCGGGCATAATTATGACTAAAAGGATAATTTTCAAAACTTTTTATGATGAGTATTTTAGTGGCAGATTCAAGGGGCCCAGCCGGCCCACCATCCCTAATTTATTTTATTTTTTTTAAATTTAAAAGTGGAGAAAAATGAAAATTATATTCAAATTCAGTCTGAGAGTGCCATTTCCGACCAACTAGAGGTGCCATAATCATAAATTTTCTTACCTCAGCCCCCAACCACGGTGGGGCTGAGGTGGTCTACACTCTCTATCTGTAAAAGTCCCTCTCTGGGCCCAGCTCTATTTCAAATTACTGGATTCGCCACTGGATATTTTGAAATTTCGTATTTAAATAAATTCTAATTGCATTGCTTAAAATCAATTAAAAGGCTATAGGCGCCAGAGCTTTCGAGGTCTTCGCTACCTGGTCCCCAAACAAAAATTTGGGCCTACGGCCCAAGGCTTTATTTTTCATTTCGTCCCCCCACTTTCAACCACGGATCGACGCCCTTGCCTTCCCGGGCCCCCTCTACTTTGCATTCCTGGATCCGCCACTGCACCACCGTCGGTCAACTTAGTTTGAACCCCCGGCCGACGACCTCGTCAGACTAACACATTAATTTGCTAATCTAAATAATCTGATGTATCTGAATTTAACGTCTTCTGATGAGATCATTTTCATTGTTTTTGTTTTTGTTTTTTTCATTTTTATTTGCAATGACATCAAAGAAACAAGCTTCGTGTGACAATTAATAATTTATTGTCTTATTCGAAATATATGTTCTGTTTGGTTGTTCTCTTTACAGTAGTATAAATAACTGATTTCACGAACTCTTGAAAGAACACCTTTGGTGAATGGGTTTTAACGTATATTTGGCTTTTCCTGCACAAGCAGGAAAGTCATTTTTTCAGATTTTTGTCTTTTTCCGCACATGCGGACAAACTATGTTTTCATTTTGGCCCTTTGGAGCTTCCCGGGTTTTACGGAAAAGCCCCGTCGTTTTGTTCTGATTTTTTTTCGTTGGTAATGAGGGAGGGGGCGGTTTTTCCGCACTGGAAAATTTAACTTATACTCTAAAATGTCGACCCATCTTTTATATTACACACCTCAGTTTTTTTAATAGTTTCATTTAATGAGGAAAATCCTAATCAGTAATAAAATAAAAAAACTGTTTTCCACAGGGCCCAAAACCAACATAAATACAAATACATAAGAAATCGTTCAAACACAAGAGAAAAGCACTTGCTATACAAATTTAAATATCGCCAATAAAAAATTACATACAATTGAATTATAATGGTTAAAGTGTGTAAAAATGTAGATAGTGCTTAAAAATAGACTTATTTTTATTATTATTATAAATTTATGGACCCATTGCACACATACATTTAACAAATATCGACCTATGTTTTATAAAAGAAGATCCTTCTTTTTTTTTTATAAAAACAAAATTATGTGGATCCATTTTAATAATAGTTGGAAACATTTTCGACATGTAAAAATTATATGATGTAGACACATTTTTAAAATTTGCATTTTTCGTGAATATAGATTTTAATTAAATGAAAGTGTAGAATCAAACTCGGGAGAACTGATCATTGATTCAAAAACGTTTTCGGCCATAGACCATAGTAATTAGGCCTTAACAATAAAACAAAAAGGAAGAATAGTCTTAGTGCTGAGATTAATAATGTGGAAAAAGACTATATTTAAGGAGAGTGACCCGTTCGGTTTACCATTATGATGATTTATTAGGGGGTAATATCTTAACAAAAAGTATTACATTTGAGGAACATTTGGCCCTCACGAAAGTGTGAGGAACATAACAAAACAAAGAATAATTCTGACTAAAGTAATATCCCAGTATAATTATGTCTATGTTATATATTATGCTATATTATCTTAAAATTTTATTAATAATATAAAATTGTACAACTTACGATTCCCATGACTGCCTACTTCTTCAATTTTGTAAAGTGTGGCTTACTATATTACATCACGCTTTAAATACATTTTCTGGATACAGGCTTTGACCAATCCCGGCCAATTTTAATACTGTAAATGACGTTAGAATTTCCAAATCTCTCGAACACGCCCATCCACTGATATGACGTTGGGAAAGACAACGTCACTGTTGTAGAACAGAAATCACTGAATATAAAGTACTGTATATGCAACATTTTTTATGTGCAAAGGGGTAGCCATCAATTTTTAAATAGCCGCTCTGGTGGGCTTCAAATTGTACTTTTATTCTCACATTATCGCGACCTACACTGCGATCGGTAGGGCCTACACGACCGACACCGACCAGTACGGTCGTGATAGTGTGAGAGCTGATGAGAGCAACTTGCTCGTGACAGGGAAGAGGGTCGTTGACTTTGATAGAAAACCAATATTTTTGGTTCGACGACGACCTTGTCATGGCGTCATACGACGGGATGGGGGATGACGACCTCGTCATGGCGTCGTACGACGGGGTGCGAGGATCTCCAGGCTTCTCGGACGTCACTCACGAAATCAAAAAATTCTATTGCGATGCAAAGCAACCATGTTTAGATTAAATAATGTAATTCCAAAATCAAAACTATCGTATGATCTGCTTTCCTAAAGACCTCATTGATCGCATCACTCTCTGGAAGTATTACTGTTATAACACTATCTAAATTTAAAAACCACTGAAATTACTCTAATATTTAATCAACATTGCTGTTTTCCATGGATTCTGTCCTTCACCCTGACGGGGGCCGCTGTAGGACCTGAGTTGAACCACGGTAGAAACCTACAGTACCTTATTCTAATATTGACTCTTCACCCCAAGTTTACTCTCCTGTTTCGTATTGCTCTATTGAATAGTTATAACCTGGTAGGTAGATATGTCCATTATGATGGGAATTACCTACATACGTGGTCCTGTCATTAATAAACCAGAAGTTTACTTAATAATAACACTAAATAATATACCAGTAGTCTGTTTATTCAAAATTCTAACGTATTCACCTGTCCTAACTCAAAAGACAATTCATACCTTCATTAATAATGGATAGTATATTGGTCCCTGTGTATTTATAACACATGTTTAATTTAATTAGGCATACATCTTTGTTGTATGTATTTTACAACATCCGTCAACTCGTATAACTATAATAGAGGCGCCCTATAGTCATCGTCATTAATATTGCATTATATAATATTTTCGTGTTTCTTGCACTTTATTTATTCATGGAGGATTAAGCATAGGCCTACTCTACCCTGTGTATTCCTGACATATGTTTTTAAATTAGGCCAGCATCTTTTTTTTATATGTATTTTTTAATTTGTATTTACATAATGTGTAAGTCTGAGAGTGCCATTTCCGGCAATCTAGAGGTGCCATAATCTTAACATCTTTTAACTCAGCCCCAACCATGTTGGGGCTCAGGTGGGTGAATTGTGAACCCCCCCGGGCTCCCTACATTACGATAAATTATCAATAGAAGACCATATTTCCTTTTTGATTGTTCATTCTTAAAACATATACGTAATAAATGTCTTAAACAACTTCAAAACGATCTTGAAACATGGGATTATCATCCTATTGGAATGTATTTTATGATGGGTCTAGTGAGTGTAAACTCCACTTATTGCTTGATGATTTATCTAATGTTTATTCTAATAATAATTTTTGATTTTTATTTTAAACAATTAATTGAATGTTGTATAAAAACAAAAAATATTTTGTTAACTAAATTACCACCTCAACAAGTCTAGAAAAAATATCTAGACGTTATTAATTGTTATTTAATGTGTTTTAACATTTTATTTTTGAACCACATGTGCCTATAATGGCAGGTTCGTATTTGCATTTGAACTTGCAGTGTGATTTTTATTTGATTTCAACCTCTTTTACTTTACTTTATTAGCTTTTAATTGTTTAAAGATTTGTTTAAGATTAACTAAGTAGGCCTACTGTTTAACATTCTCTTGTATTCACAACTTTTGAAATTGTATTTTTTGTATTAGGATAGTTCGAATGCAACATAAAACTTATTAATGTGTGCCACAGTTAAAGGTGAAGTTCATTAAATTTAATTTAAAGAGACTGGTATTCTAATTCTTTAAAGAACCATTCATTGACAGAGCAGTTGGAAATTGGGGGATCGTTGAGTGAATGGGCGTAACTAACTCGTCAAAACTATTTCAAAATCATCACATAAGAGGGAAGGTGCAATACAATTTATACATTCATACATGCTAGGGTGTCATGTTTTACGTTAAAGAAGTTTCCAATTATTTTGTTTAATAAGATGAATTAAATGAAAATTATAAAATCTAAATTATTTTAACTATTCTATAGCACGTTTTTCTTATCTTAACAGAATGTTGAATTGGTACGTTGGCCACATTGCATGTGGTTTAGCAGTCAAGCATTTGGCCTCTTATCACAGTACCATGGGTTCAATTCCTACACTGATCACATAATGAATGCACTGCAATCCACAGCATTTATTTGTCCATCATACAACAAAATTAGAACATTAAAAAATAGCTTTTTGTACACTACAGTTTTTAAGAAAACACATCAAGACAACACAAAAACACCATTACAAGAAAAATAACTGTACATTGCATGTGGTTTAGTAGTCAAGCACTAGGCCTAATATCACAGTATCATGGGTTCAATTCATACAGTGGCCACCTTGCATGTGGTTTAGTAGTCAAGCACTAGGACTCTAATCACAAGATCATTGGTTCAATTCCTTATATTGCATGTGTCTTCGTAGTCAAGCCACAACATCATGGGTTCGATTCTTGCAATGACCACATTGCATATGGTTTAGTAGTCAAGCACTAGGCCTCTCATCACAGGATCATTGGTTCAATTCCTTACACTGGCCACATTACACGTGGTTTAGTAGTCAAGCACTAAGGCATCTTATCACAATATGATTGTTTCAATTCGTACACTGGGAACATTACATTCACAATTCAGTACACAGGGAGACAGTCCTCTGTGAGTATGCTATTGTGAGTCCTCCAGCACAAGAAGAGTGCTGGAGTTCAACCAAAGACGGATATGAAAATATCATCATGGTTTGTTTAATGTACACACAGTGGCTACCACCAGTTCAGTTAGCTGACGAATTACTGTACTGCCTGCTCAGTACGTTGCAAATTTAATACTAAAAAAGAATGACTCGTGTTCGTCTCGAACCAGGGCTATGGTTCGAGAGCGGATGGGTTGTACGCATGTGTACTAGGCCATGTCATGTCACAGAGATTTTCTTAAATGAAAGAAAGTGGAAATCAATGGGTTTCTGCGTTAGAAATAATAGTTTAAAAAGGATGTTTTATACTATGAAAAAATAAAGTGGAAATCGATAAGATTAATTGATTAATAAGTATATCTATTGATTAATAAGTATTTCTAATCAAAATTTCTGATTTTTCCCTGGCTTTTTTCTCCTCCCAACCTGACCTGGGCCGTTGTAGACTCTTTGAACTCCTGTAGAAACGTAAAGTACCTTATTCTACTATTCCAAAATTCAAAATAAAAAAAAAATCCAAAGCCAATTACCAATGCTAAAAAGAGAAGCATATCATATAGAGGTTCTCCTTTGTGGAATTATTTTAACTATAATCAACAAAACTCCCAAACGCTCCGTACCTTTAAAAATTGTTTATAAATGTTGTGTACTACTACTACTACTAATACTACTACTACTACTACTACTACTACTACTACTAATAATAATAATAATAATAATAATAATAATAATAATAATAATAATAATAATAATAATAATGGTTTCGGCAATAATGGTAATAATGGTGATGATAATGGTAATAATAATAATAATAATAATAATAATAATAATAATAATAATAATAATAAAAATAATAATAATAAT